GAAAAAGCTGTAATTATTGTTATCTTAATTTAAAAAACAATTTGCGATGACTTTTGAATTTAACTTACTCAACAGTGTTTCTATGAAACCAACACTTCAAAATTCAAAAAAACACTAAAAACTTTATGTGTCAATTTTAATATAGAGCTCAATGGCGCGACTTTTTTGAAATAACTTAATGATTTTGGAACACTGATCTTGGAAATTTAATTTTTGTACATTTTTGGATAACCCTTTTAAAAAGAGCTGCTTAAAGCCTTGCTGTTTTGTTAAAATTTTAAACACGTTTTTGAAATAGTTAGCTCTTTTGGGAGTTTTTCGAAGAATTAGAGCTGAAAATATATTTAGCTGAAAATCGATTTAAAAAGCTCAGTAAATGAAAAGTGCGTGTTCTTTGGAATATTTTTTTTGATAACAATAGCATAATCATTTTCCTGTTAAGAGGAAGACTTTCATTGAATGTTTTAGTGTTAATGCCAACCAAATTCAACACTTTGTTCGCACACTCAAATCGTATTACAATAGTACAGGGTTAACAGCGAGAATAATGGTTTTGCTTTGTTTTACCTAGTTGGTTTAGAAAGTTTTGGACAAAAATTTTTCTCTGATTAGATTTGAACCAGTTTCAGCTCAAACTTAAAATTTTCTAGTATTTTGCTCTTGAAAAATGAAAACTTTAGCGATGACACAGAAAATGTAAGTTTGGGCATAATACGAATTAAATTTATCAAAAAACGACATCGCAAAATTCTTTAAACGATCTCAATTTTTGTAAAAGCCGCATTGCTCTATTTTGAGAAGAGAGAACAGAAAAAGTTGGCAATGGCGAGAGATGTGAATTGAGGTAACAAATCCATTATATGTGTCAATTTCTGAGTGCAACAGCTCAAGATTGAACCAAATATTGAACAAAACATTGATAGCTTGTTGCTGTGCAAGTAGCACATACAATTCTGATAACAATAAAGACATTTTTTTTTGGTTTTTTTAAAAGTTTTTTTTTCACAGCGTTTTTGTGCTCTGCCTCAAAGCAAACTAACAATGACTGACATGATGAAACTGTTTTTTTTTGCATTTAAACTTAAAATGAATCAATTTGAAGGGCCACGTTTTGGAAAATTTGCCTAAAAAGCAAATTTGTACCGATTTTTTTCGAAACGAAAGTTTTGCGTTGAAGTTTTTTATATCGATCTACTTTCGAGTGAAAAAGCTGTAATTATTGTTATCTTAATTTAAAAAAACAATTTGCGATGACTTTTGAATTTTAGTTACTCAACAGTGTTTCTATGAAACCAACACTTCAAAATTCAAAAAAACACTAAAAACTTTATGTGTCAATTTAAATATAGAGCTCAATGGCGCGACTTTTTTGAAATAACTTAATGATTTTGGAACACTGATCTTGGAAATTTAATTTTTGTACATTTTTGGATAACCCTTTTAAAAAGAGCTGCTTAAAGCCTTGCTGTTTTGTTAAAATTTTAAACACGTTTTTGAAATAGTTAGCTCTTTTGGGAGTTTTTCGAAGAATTAGAGAAAACTATAAACTTGACACCTAGAGGCCAAAGGTTCAATTATTATAATCGAGAAGAGTGCTTTCGCCATTACTCAGAAACATTGTGACCCTAATTTGCTAATGGCCGGAAGACTTGATCGAATAGTCAAATTTTTTTCCCATCACCTTCAATATTTTGTTTGTCCATTCCACACTGGTTATGATAAAAAAGCGTCAAAAGCGAAAAGGAAACAACCGTTTCGATCTATAAAAAAAACAAGACCAAAAATATAGACCTTAAATTTATTTTTTTTGTGGGATATTTAGGGAAGTCGAGTTAAGATGTCCCAAAGTTATCAATATTATATAATTGTTTTCAGCCCCGACACCAAGGTGGAAAAGATTTTACCCTGAACCCCCTGAGAGTTGCTTACTCTGGTCGGTCATGATGAATCTCCACCTGAAATCGTCTTCCTTTAAAACCCAAACAATGGAACTTGCTTTTTCAATCGAGTTCTATTAGATTTATTTTATGCAAAAACTCTTTACTTCAAATGCAATAAAACGGTCAAATTTGTGATTGTTTTCAAATTTTCCGTGAATTTGGCTAATAAAATGTATTTAAGAGTATTTTTGCAAGTTGAGTGCAATTAAAGTTATTACGCTTGCGATTAGCAAGCGTTCTCAAATCGGAATGTAGACTTTTATCGGGTTAAAAACTAGTTTAATATAGTCAGTTGAATAACTTATGATGATTCTATGAAAAAAAAAACTAGGTTAAAAACTATGATGCTGCTATACTGGTTAAAAACTAGTTTAATATAATCAGTTGAATAACTTATTATGCTGCTATAGAAAACTCAAATTTAACTACTGGGTGAGTACAACTAGTTTCAGGGTGACTTGAAATTTTTAAAGTTTTTTTTTTTTTTTTTACAAAATCACACTTTTTTCGGCTCAACTGGTGTCTGCTCAAAGACTGTCGGCCTTTTTTCCGCATCGTAAAATATGTGCGGTTAATATTTGCATATCACATGTTTTGCGTGGCATGTTTGCTTAAACTTCCTGTTTCATAAACACAGGTATTATGAAATTGAATAGAAAAATTTCATCGCTTTTTGCTAAGATTTTGGCTTCATTGAATAGAACAAATCTGAAATGGTCCCCTCCACAAGCAGATAGGCCCAATTTTTTTGAGTCAAATATTTGATTTTTTAAACCATTTTTTGATCTTTTTCAATTTTTCTCGAAAAACAACCTCTCAAACTTGAGGTTGTGAGCTCAATGGAGATAACGGGTAGTGGGAAGCTCCCCTGCATCAGCGGCCACTCACAAAAAGTTGGGTTTGAGTGTTTTTTTCTATAGTTTTATTCAATTTACTTAAACATCCCCTCCCGTATCTAAGATTTTGGGTTCAATACAAAGAACGAGGTGTGAGGGAACTCCTTTGCCTACGCGACTACGCCCAATTGTTTATGACACTAAATTCATGGCCCTTGGAAAAGTCAAATTTTGCTTTTTTGAACAGTTTTGAAAATTTTTGACTATTATCGAGAACTACCTAGCCAAACCTGGTTTTATTTTCAATTGAAAATACAGACTTGGTGAGTTTCTTCTATATGAGCGGCTACGCCCACTTTTTTTAAACAAAAAGCTATGATGCTCGGAAATGTCAACTGTTGAATTAAACCCCTATAATTTTGCTTTAAAAGTCCGTCGAAAACGGCTGTTTAAAAAGTCGAAATTTGCCTGGAGAAAAACAATCTTCCCGAGTATAAATATTCTGTCTTTTTCTTCGAAATTCGTAAAAAAGTCTTATTTGTACTTGTTTTCAAATTTTTGCAAAATTGGCTTTTAAAACACTAATAAATCATCTCTTATTCACAAGTTGAATGCAAATAGAACTTTTTTTACAGGAACTCTTAGCATCAAATGCAATTAAAAAAGCCTAAATCGTGCTAGTTTTTAACTCTCTGAAAGTTTGGCTAAAACAAAAAACAAATACGTATTCTCTTCTTTACAAGAGATAGTCTGCGTTTTGTTTTCGAAGTTAAAATGATCAACTGGTCATAAACTTTACAGGTTGCCCCAAAATAGGGAGCTTTTAGAAGCTATTACGGGTAGCGGGGAGGGTTCGCATGCTTGAGGGACCGAATGCTTGAAAACTTTCAACCAATCAAAATCTCTAAGCATTTCTTTTGGCTAAATGCGTTTCTCACAAAATCTAAGTCAATATTAACAGAAAATGTATTAAATCAGTGGAAAATAATCAAAAATTTTACAAATTGCGGGGTACAACCGCATCACTATTCAGATAATGATCAAAGTTAATGAGTTCAAAATCATAAGAATTTTTCAGTCTTGAAAATTCATCTGCTTATTATTTAATCGGTCAATATTAAAACTAATGGCCTGGATTTTTTTCTTACTTTGAGATTTTCGCGGTTTACTTTGAGATTTTGAATACTCTATTCTGATTGACTGAAAGTAAGTTAAAAATAATTTCAAGCATTCGGTCCCTCAAGCATGAGGGACGCCACCGCTATTAGCTTTTATTAGATCATGAAGCTTGTGAAGCTTGAACGAACCATTAGATCAACAATGATGAACAAGTTATTAGATAATCAAGCATGAACGAGCTATTAGCTATTATATCATCAAGAATGAACAATCAATTCACCCCAAAACAAACTCGAACAAGAATAGCCAGTTGCTGTGCAATTAGGACAGGAGGTTCTGACCACAATTAAACAAAAGGAAAACTTATTTTTGTAGTCCTTCGTAAAATTTTTTTTGCTTTTTTTCCAGTTTTTTTGTCATTTTTAGCTTGTAATGGGAGGAGGACTTAAAAATGCAAAAAGCAAAATGAACAAGCAAAATGAACAAACTAAAATTAAGTTTAAAACAAAAAAAAACTTGTAAAATCGTTTTTTATAGGACCCACGGTTTTATTGTTAAGAGCACGACCCGGATTGTCAAATTGTCTTCTTCTTTCTATGAAAGTATAAACTAAAACACACTCAATTTAAAAAATTGTTCCCAAATCGTGGTCTTCGGATTAATTACCTACAAAAACATATCCACTAGAAACACAAATTTTTGAAAAGAGAAAAAATGTATCGGTTCTGAGTGATTTTTTTTCGTTTTCCGACTATATTGGATCCTTTGATCTGGATTAAATCTTAATGCCTTTATACACATCGGTCGGGTAGGCCCGATGAACGCGGCTCATAAAATGAATTTCAGTTCACATTTATCTAACATTTTGTATTGAAAGTGACATTCTGCATTAATCAGATTATGTTATTATTAGATGCCATCTGTTTGAACAGGCCGTTTTTTGACGGAGGCGCTTATATATAGATGGTTTTTTTCCTTCGCCAACGTCTCTTTTAGAAAAAAATTAATCGTTAATTTGGCAAATATATATATATATATATAGAGAAATAAGACATTCCTTCAACGGGCCGTTTTTTGAAGTTCACTTCAAAACCAGAAGTGAGAATCTTTCAGAAAATTGACTCTTTTTCAAACAACAGTTTTTTGCCTTCAACTTTCAGATTTCTTGCCTCCAAACATCTAAAACACTGCTCCCACAATTCCATATGAGAAAGCCGGAAAAACACTTGTCATACGGCTGGCTCGCATATATGAGAATTATATAAATAGATTTTTTATTTTGAGATTTAAACAGGTCTCTAAGATCTAAAGTTACGCAAAAACAGGCAGAATGAGTCTCGAAAGAAAACTAAATCTAGGATAAAGCGACTTGTTAATTTTATAGATATTTCAGAAATGGTCAATAATCCCCCCAGACTATTTCAAGATTCACTATGGAAAAATTTAAATATTAAAATCTCAAAGCTGCAGGAATTTTTTCAACATAAAACTGGCCTTACTCGATTGGTTCAAAAAGCCAGAGGGTACCTTAAGAACAAATATAAGCTAGGCTAGGTCAATCTAAATTGGTTTTTTTTTTAATGTTAAAAGGATGAGTGTGGGTCGGGTTCCCCAAGCGAGGGATGTAGAAAGTGGTGCTTTTAGTTCAAAATTCTTTTCAGCCTTCCCTCAACCTATCTTAATTGCCACATGCTTAATATGTTCTTGGGCCAACAAGCCGAAGGTCCAATAGCCGAAAATAAGATAGCCATTCCACAAAGTTGAAAATTTTTTAATGTAAAATTATTTTATATGAAAAGGGTTGTTATGAACATAAAAGATTGTCACTGTTGTTATGCAATTGTTATGTTAGCTTAAGTTATTCTGATCCATTTTCGGCTTCAGGATGCGGCTGTTTGTTGAATATTTTTGGAAGTTACTTGCTGATTTAATAAACTTCTGAGAAAATTGATTTAGTGGAGTGAACTCTCTTCTTGTTGTTATCCTTGATTAGTAAAAATAGCTGCAAGCTGGGGTCACCTGCTTGTTGGAACTAACCCTATTTGTGATTCAACAAAATTTTTGGCAAATTTTGGAAGTTTTCCATATCAACTTAATATAATATACCATTTTAGAATATACCTTCCATATACCTCTAAATATATATTTACCAAAGTTACGATTAATTTACTTCACAGAGACGTTGGCGAAAGAAAAAAAACATTTATATCAAATCTTTATCCATTATAAATTGAATTATGGACGCAAACGGAAGTTATGAGAGCTTGTGATCTTGTGTTTTTCTTATTGTTGTCAATTCCACTTACTCATTGTAGGGAAAAGGAAAACAACCCTTCTAATGCTTACTCGCTCTTTCCTCCTGATTATCAACAGAGCCGAAGACCAAACGTGTTCACTGGTTAGTACCAGTTACAGTATGTTTCATTTTTTTGTTCCGTACCGTCGATGGCCGGGAGTAATGTTGTAATGTGTCTCATATTTCAGCAACAGAAAAAAAATTCAGATTGTGAAGCAGAATTAAATCAGATATTAAAAGAAAACATTTTGCTTAAATAAAAGCAAAACTCTGAATGTTTTGAGTGACGTTTAACGTGTCTACAGTAGCTTTGGTGAAACACAAGATGTAATTACCAGAAATTAAAAATCTTTTTACTTTTAAAAATCACCCCACTATCAATGTCAAATAATAAAAACTGGAGTCTGTTAATTTATCAATATTTGGATCAACTAGTCAGCCTATTTCAATGATGAATGTATTATGAGTTAAGTTGACACCGAAGCTGAAGCGTTAATAAGAAAGACAATGGACACTTCCACGCCTGCTACAAAACCTAGTAAGAAATGCAGGTTAAATAAACTCTTTAATTTTGAGTTCAAGGCTCAAATGTTTTTCAGACTTTTCTAAAAATTTCCGCACAAAAACGATATGAGCACAAGTACTCCGTCACCGTCAGTAGGGGCGGGAATTCAATTTTTGTTCCAATTTTCTAAGAAAACGGTATATTTATGCTCGCTGTGATTTTTCTATTCGGTCAATTTTCGCCGATCGAAATGATAATTTTTGACAAAGTTTTTTATACCCCATTGAAGATATCGACTTTTGGAGCTCAAATGTAAAAAAAGATATTCTGGGGGTTTAAAAATTGCCAAATTGGCAATGTTCTGGACTAAATTATGCGCACTTTGATTCATATTGCTGAGACCGTAACGCGAATTATTTATGCGTGGCGAATTATTCCGCACAACAAAATTGTTCTAAATTGAATTGAGGCTAGCTAATCAGATCGGTCATATTAATTTCGTACTACTCAAAGTTTCACACTGATATTTTCCAAAATTTAAAGGTTTTCAATATTTATTTTTCCCAAAAACTATTCGATACGAATTGAGGGACAGTCGGAACATTCAAGGCTTTGCCCTGATATACGAGCAGTCTTGTTGGAGATTACTTTTTGTTATAGTGCTTGGAATTTCAGCAATTATTGAGCTGCATTTCAAGTTTTCTGCAATTCCGTAAATAGCGCATAAATTTAGCTCAAATATTGATCAAAAATTAATGAATGCAAGCTTTTTTTAATTGTAAGTACGAGGTGAGTTTTTGTTATTGTGAAGCAAAAAACGGGAAACAAAATTTGAATAAAGTGAAACAAAAAAGACTTCTCGTATCAGAAGTCTTTTTTCCAAAAAAATTTCTTGCTTGGAAAGCGTTCCGTTTTTATTAAAATGTTAAAATTTGGCATAAACAAAAACTAAGAGTTGATTGTATGAAAATTTGACATGAAAATTCAAAACATGAATTTTTAATATTTTGTAACCAACACCAAGCCATCAAAGCCATCAAAACAAACGTGAAATATTGTATCCAAAGCACAATCCCCCTTCCTCAAACCAATTAAACTCGAAAATAAAAGTTTTTACCTAACACAATTTTTTGAGTTGGTTGGCAAAAGATTGTACCAATTTTTTTTCAATTAAAGTAAGCGAATGGAACAAATAATTTTGAAATATTTCAAGTTTTTCGATTACTGAAAGTTGTTTGCAGAAAATGGTTACTGAAAATTGTTTCTACTCAGTTTTTGTTCTTTTCGAACTATGACATCATCGACTTTTCATATCGACTTTTGAATCGAAAAACAATTAACAATAGTTTTGAATCAGAAACAATTGAAAAACAATAGTTCAAGTTTTCTGCAATTCCGTAAATGGCGCATAAATTTAGCTCAAATATTGATCCAAATTGAACGAATGCAAGCTTTTTATAATTGTAAGTACGAGGAGAGTTTTTGTTATTGTGAGGCAAAAAAAACGGGACACAAAATTTGAATAAAGTGAAACGAAAAAGACTTCTCGTATCAGGGTGAAGCCCTGAGTGTTCCCACTGCGTTTTAATTTCTATGAACTAAATTAAAATAAATTAGTTGATAAATATTTTCAAAAGATACAAAGGAAAAAACAGAAAACATTGGAAAACTTTTTTAATGTTTTTTTTTGAAAATCATCCCTAAAGTAGGAAGGGAAATTTTGCATAAAACCAGGGACTGATCTAGGATTTTCTCGAAAATTTTGTCAAGTTTTTTTTGAGGTCGGCCAAATTGATTTTCTGAGCTCTCCCAAATCACTATAAAGAACCCATTTTGACCAAATTTGTGAAAAAACAGGTCACAAAAGTCGCTTTTAGGCACTTTTGGGAAATTTTTGGCCAAAAGTTGGGTTTTTTGGCACGAGCTTGCCCCTCAAAATAAGTAATCAGTATCAAGAATGGAGTGAGTTATTAAAAACTTTTGAGCCTTATTATGAACTGTTAATACAGAGATAAAAATTCTATACTTCTTCAATTTTAATCAAACTGCATTTACAGTGAGATTCAAACTTTAAAAAAGTATATTTCAAGGTTTCTTTTTTTTCAAAAATTTTTTTTTGCTTTGAAAGCGTTTCAAAATGTTAAAATTTGGCATAAACAAAAACTAAGAAGTGGTTGTATGAAAAATTGACTTAAAAATTGAAAAACATTTTATTCAAAAGATGAATTTTTAATATTTTGTAACCAACACCAAGCCATCAAAGCCATCAAAACAACCGTGAAATATTGTATCCAAAGTACAATCCCCCTTCCTCAAACCATTTAAAGAGGATAAGTTATTTGTTTGTCATAATTTTTTTTGAGTGCATAATGGATTAGCTTATTTTAAAAAGCTTATTATAGAAAAACTTAAGAAAATTAAAGCTTATTAATTTATATTAGCTTATGAATAAGAAAATGACTGAAGAAAGTTTTGACTAAACATGTGAGTGATCAACCGTGTTAAAAAAGCTGTTCCACTTCAAAAGCTTTCTTAAGCTGTAAATTTTTCGCGCTCGTTCGAAGTGAGCAGTTTATACGGAATTAACGATTATGCTTCCCGTAACCAGATTCAAGCGCTAGCAATCGATTTTTGTTTTTGGTTTTATAACCAGTCTTTCTGAAAATAAGGGAAATTTATAATGATCTTTTAATAAACAATTATGTTGTCTCCTTTCCATAAGCATCATAAACAAATTTAGATGAATTGAATTCAATATAATCAATATTTTTTTCATTTTTTTTTTTCGTTACAATTGTAATCAATTGTAACTGATTTTTTCGGACCATTTATGTTTTTTTTGTATTAAAATTTGTTCTACTTCAACCGATTATAAGCATTTTTTCTGGCTACACTCTCTTTTAAATGCACAAATTTTCTTCGACTTTGCATCTATGTTGCTTATAAATCATGCTTTTGATAAAAGTTGACTTTCGCAAAAAAATTGTAAAACAGTTTAACAGTTTTCAAATCAAGTCAAACCTGTAAAGTTTTTCTTCGTTTTCTTCTAAAAAAAATTTTTGCGCCAAGCTAGCTGATTTTTTATTTTTGTGCTGTATTTTAATTGTTGCGGATATTAAGTTCAACTCTGTATGAAAATTAAAAATTTGGCTAGAGAATCAATTCTAGGTGAGTTCACGTAGCGAATAGAGTTTTTTAGTTGTGACAGTAAATTTTTTTTTAAATCTTTTTGTTTTCGAAACGAGATCAAAATCGATATGAACAAAAGCTGAGTAGAAACAAGTTTTTGCAAACAAATTTCAGTCATCAAAAAAGCTTGTAATTTTTTAAATTTTTGTTCCCATTAGATTTATTTAAAAAAATGATACAAATCAATTTCGACCGACTCGAAAATAAATATTTTTACGAAACACAATTTTTTGAATTGGCTAGCAATAGTTTGTACCATGAGAAAAAAATGTCCTACGGCGAGTCAATTCAGGCTGTCACTCAAAAACTGTAAAATTTTAGCAAAACATTGCGAGCCCTAGTTAAACTAAATAAATTGTTTCAGTTTTCATGTTTGAACCACTTGCTCGAAAATAGTAGTGTTTAACAAGGGAACTCAAACTTAAATTGGTTGCTCTTCACTCAAGACTTTAAAAAATTGCATTTTTTCAAATTTATAAATATATCGGAATGAAAAGATTTCACCGTTTGGTTGTAACTATCAATTGCGAATTTTCTTGACCAGCGTTTTTACCTGATTCAGTTTGAGTCAGAATTGTGTTTGGTCAAGTTATAATGTTATATTACTTATAATATTGGAACAGTACATTAAAATTGACTGAAAATTAAACAATGTCTCTAATAAATTTTTGAGAAAAAATTGCTATCGAATGTACCTAATATACTATTCCTATCGAACTTGCTTAGAGCTCTTCCTCACACCGCGACCAAAAAATGAAATAATTTGAAAAATCGTCTGTTTTTTTGTTTTTTCAGTATGATCGAAAGTTTCTGTGCTACTTGATGCAACCGGTTATCCCTGTTTTTCAGTTTGTTCTTCGAAATTTTGTTCTTATTTTTAAAATTTTAATTCTAGAGTTTCACTTGATTTTATGCCATACCTTTCATGAAAAATACAAAAAACAAATCATTGCTACTTATTTTGGCTATGTATTTTTTGAACGTTTTCACTAAGTTTTGAGAATCTTTTTGCTTTTTCCTTGCATTTGTGGCTAGGGCTAGTAACTTTGTCTCCGAATTTGTTTTAGTTTTTTTTTTCATTTTTTAAATGCAATAACATAAGCCGAAGCAATCATTAGTATTATTTCAAGTGACATATCATATTAAAACCGAAATGTGATTCAAATTTCCCAACGTTTTGAATTAACCGGGTCAATATTCTTGTTTTTTTAATAGAAAAAGTTTAATCCAGTTGAATTTTGGAATACTTTTTTCTTTTTTTTCTAGGAGATTAAGTTCCCAATGCTCCATTATAGATTCATTGGCTAAAAATTAATTTTAAAGCTTGCAACATTTTGGGAAAATTTTGATTTTTGTTCGGAAATTATTTGTTTAACTTTATCCATTTTGACTATAAGAGTAGTAGATA